GACATAAGGAGACTAGCACTTCTTCCTCTTATGATGTGCATCTATTTTGTGTTCAACCCCCATTGTCCTGAAATATGATAAGCAAATCAAAAATGCACAAGTGTAGGAGTTTAGTGTTTTGAAGAAGCAACTAAGTGTGAATATTCCCAGTAAAGTATGGGAGGAATTAGTAAATTGGTTAAAAAATCAAGAAAAATGTTTGACTTGAAGTTCATTCCTGCTCTAGGCAAATCACATAGTTTCTTAGTATGAGACCTTATTGTCATCTAGAATTTAGAAGACCAAGTTACCATAATCACCTTTGAATATTAGAGTAAAAATATATATATAGTTATACAAAATTATTAGAATTCCTCTAGATACAGAAAAGATCACATTGGAAATCTACAGCCTAAACACACACCTTTCACAAAGAACAAATGATTACAAAAATCAGTCTTGTATAAAAAAGAACCAATCAAAAAACAAACAAATCAGAAAAATTCAAAACCCCCAAAAATATTTAAAAAACCTAGATATCCTTCCATAAAATAAGAAAAAATAAATAAAAGCCTAAATTTCCCCAAATAAATGTAATGTTTTCTTATATACTTTTCAATATGAATTTGGTCTTAACATATGACTTCTATCTATTGCCGATAGAAAGAGATTAGTAACATCATTGAAGTCTACAGATACACTTTTCCCTACAAATCTCTAACACCTAACAATCCAAACTCATATCAAATCAGTGTATTTATCAGATAACCAAATGGTTAAAGTAGACTAAGATTGAAGTAATATCTCTATAAAATTTATACTACCAATAAGATAGGTCATGATTTTTGCTTCCAGCCTATGGAATAGTAATCATTGTATTGCTATTATCAATGCTTTGTAGGTGTTATAAATTGGTATCTTTCACATGTGTGAATGAACCATATTCATTTCCATTTTCAAATTTCAAATGTAGCTAACAAGTTACAAATTAAAGTCAAATGAAGAAGATAGAGAATTCTACAATAATCACTACCAAGAGAAAACATGAGCATGAAAATAAAGGTATAATCTCATTTTTACAGTTATATATATTTTTTAATTCTATATTTAAGTCACTCTCATAGTATTTGTAATATAATACTGAAAATAATGTATGTGTAGAAGTAAATTATAGTTTTCATTTTAAAAAAATGAACTTATAGCCTGCAAATTGATATCAAACAAATAATGGATGCTGTTAAAAATTTAAGGAACAAATTCATGGAATTATTAAATATTCTGAGAGTGAACCTAGACACTAGAGAAATTGAAAAAATTAGAACTATATTTCTATGAAGTAATAGAAGCAATTATTCAATTCAATTTGAAGATAAATATACATGCATGCCCTAAAAACCATCAAATTCGAAAAACCTAAACATCATATACAAATTATAGCTGCTCATGTTACATATTTCCGCTAAATACACAGGAAAATGCGAGTCAATACTTATCTTTGTTGGTTTGTTGCTTTCTCTTCCAATTCGTGCTGTGCTGCATAATCTTGGAGTGTTTTTGCAGATAGTTTCACTGTGGTTTTATCTACACTTTGAATTGAGAAAAAAAAACTAGGGTTTGTATGTAGATAGGTACAAAAAGATGCGTAGATTGAAGAATGAAATAAAAATTACCTGATAGGGTAGGTTCTTTCCTTTGCCGCCGTTGATAATCTTCTTTCTCCGGTAAACTGTGTGGTAGTAGAGTTTGGATCTGCTGTGTTTTTGGTTTGAGAGATAGAAATGATGGAATTGCGACAATATTTGCACTATGTTGGACCTGTTAGAGCTTTGATCGTAGGTTGTTGTTAGTGATTTGGCACAATTTCCATTTCCGGTGAGCTTAGCTGTTCGAAGTGACGAGGAAGACACTGGGAAAAGGGAGGGGAATTTGGTTTCTAATTTGGGGGGATTGGTTATATCTGGGTATGGTTTGGGTCGGGTATGAGCTGATGGGTTGGGTTGGAATACTGGTAAATATATTTATACATAGGGATGGGTTAGTTGGGCTATTTAGGCTGGTTTAGTTTATATATATATATATATATATATATATATATATATTGTTTTTAGTATATGTTATTTTTAATAAGATTTGGATATGGAAATGTTATTAGCGAATATTATATTTTTACTTTTATTTTTTGAAATAATTTGTTGAGATATTATTGTTATTAATTTGTAGTAATTAGTAATTATTTTGATTTGTAATTTATTTTTATTTGTGCAGCTTATTTTTTTTTAAATGAATTTTAATATTAAATTTGTTTTGTAATTTTTTAAAATTTATTTCATGTATTAGGCATTTTTTTTTAATTCGCTGAAGTATTAAATTAATATTTTGTAAAAATTTAAATTAAATTTAGGTGAGTATATGGTTATTAATCAATACTAAAGTATTTTTTTTGAATAAAAAATCTATATTTGTTTTTTATAAAAAATAATACAGGATTGATAATGTTATAAATCATCTTATATTTTTTTGATATGTATTTTTGTTCATTTTTTTGGTATTTTTGTTCATTTTTTTGGTTTGTTCTGATTTTTTAAAAATTTATTTCATGTATCACGGTTTTATTTTTATTTTTTTAAATTCGTTGAAGTATTGAATTAATTTTTGTAAAATTTTAAATTATATTTAGATAAATATATGGTCACTAATCAATAATAAAGATAGTTTTGTAAATTTAAATTCCGATATTTGGTTTTTATAAAATAAATACAAATTTTAAAATGTTATAAATCATCTTATTTTTATGTTCTTGGTTTTTTTTTTTTTTTTTTTTTTTTTTAATGCTACTAGCTCTATTAGAATGTAGTATCTCGCCTCCACTAAGAACCAAACTCACAACCTTAGAAATGGAAGTCCAACCCGGGTACCATTAGACCACATAATTTTGGTATGTGTTCTTGGTTATTTATTTGTTTTTTGATAATTTTTTTTGAATGTAGAAAACATTGGTGAAGATTTATGTAATGAAAATTATCCCAAAAAAAGAAATGAACGGGGATTACAAATGAATAGGCATGTGTTGGTTGGAGTTTTTGGGGATTCAATTAGTAAGCCACTTCGTATTTTGAGAAATGGTACGTGTATTTATATTTTTTATAATGTATAATTTATTATTGTGCGTAAGTGTTCATATATTTGATATATTTATATATTTTTCAAATTTTATAGATAATATATACTATATATAAAAACAAAATCCTGAAATTTTAACTTCCCGCTCAATTCCTAAAAAATCTCTCTACCTAATAAAATTTATTGATTTCTACTTTTCCATTCGTACAATAATTCTGCGTTAAAATTCTATTCTATTATTATTATAAAAGAGTGTAATACAATCTATACTATATATAAAAACAAAATCCTGAAATTTTAACTTCCCGCCCAATTCCTAAAAAGTCTCTCTTCCTAATAAAATATATTGATTTCTATATACAATCTATACTATTCCTATTCTAATCTATATCTATTTTATATATCAGTGTTGCAAAAATCGTGTCGCTGGCCGCGGCGAGGAAGGCCAGAATCGGCCTCCTCAACGGCCGCCTCGCCGGCTGAACCGGCCTTTAATTTTTTTAATTTTTTTTTTTTAAAAGTTGTAAAGTGTCAAAAGTTCGGCAAGGCATAACTTTTGACTCCGTTGTCCGTTTTGGACAAATGTTTTTTTTTTAAAAATACTTTATTAAAGAGTTTCTAAGAAAAAACTATGAGAACCTTATGTTTTATTAATGAATTTTTAAAATTTTTAATTAAACAATTGTCCCGTGCATTATTTAATAATCTTTCTTTATAATTGGTCAAATTATTTAATTATGGTAAATTTGGGAATAATTAATGATGGTAATAGAAATCCTAAAAGAATATAGAATTGAACAATATTTAATTACTGTTATATTATTATTATGACTCACGAAATACAAGAGTTAATGCCATTTTTAACTCTGGAATACAGTACACGAATATTTAATTATGATTATATTATTATTGTGCTTCGCGACCATTATATACTAACAGTACTTGAAAAGAAACTAATAATAATAATAATAATAATATAATAATAATATAATAATAATATAAGTGGTAATAATAATATCTAAAAGTAATTAAGTGTTAATAATAATAGTAAGAATATTAACGTAAGAGTTGTAACATAGAATAAATTGTAATAATTAATAACTATAGTCTAGGATTAAATTTGGATTTGTCAGGAAACATAAACGACCTCCGGTGAAATTAACTCTTAAATAATTATATATCGATTTAAATATTCTTAATATATTACAACAATTCCATTCCGTGCATCGCACGGGTGAAAATACTAGTGTTGTTAATAGCACAATATGTTGCGACGTGGAATTATCTGAAATGAATTACTTCAATATGTTGGCTTGCTTCTTAAGAAACCAGTTTTTGTTCATGGACAATTGTATGTTGCGGTCTCTAGAGTTAGTAGTCGATGTGGCCTCAAAATACTTGTATGCGAAAAAGATGCTAAGGCTGGGGCCTCAACTACAAATGTTGTATATAAGGAAGTATTTAATAATTTATAAATTTATAAATATTGGAATAAATGTAATTTTTTTTTATTATAGTTAAAGTGCATATGCCCAATTGTATTTTGTATTTTATAATTACATCTCTATCTATAATACACTATTGATAGATAATTGTTCTCATCATATTATTATATCGTGCATCGCACGGGTTCAAATAGTAGTACTGGTTCAAATAGTAGTACTAGTTATAATAAAGCAGTAACTTTAGACATACAAAATTTTCCCGCCCACCCAATACTACACCGTTTTGGAGATAGAATATCTGGCTAAATTAAATTGTTTCATTTATTGCTTTTGGTCCTTTGCGTTATCCAATGTGTATTGGGTTTAAAACTTTTTTTCTTTCCAAAATTCATTAATTATACAAAATTTAAACGTTTGAAATTTAAAAGGTTGCATATCAGAATATGTGAAAGCAACTTAAACAACTTTTGCAATCCCCAATACTAAAACATTAAATACACAGGAGTTTCTAACACTATAAATAAGTCCTCACAATTCAGACCCATTTTCATGAAGATGAAGTTGGAGAGTAGATAAAAATGATGGAGATGCATACAGCATGCTGGGAAAGCATTCACGAGGAAGAAGGCATTTTCTTGAAGATTAAGCATCCAATAGAGAACGCTTGCACATTTGGTAAATCTCTATATCATCCTTCAACTTTCATTTGAAAAAGAATAAAATTCTACATATATAAAAATCACACTGTAAGTTGACAGGATTCAAAATGACTAAATGTAGCCAATCCTCATGACTTGTGAGCTTGATAAATGTATGTGCTGAGATTATTCTTCACATATCAGTTGCTGCAAAAAGGTGAGAGGTGAATGTTTATCATTATTAGTTGATTGAACAATCAATGCTTAGTTGGGCAGGTACTAAGCTTGAAGAATTTTAGGCTTAAAACAACTACAGAAGTGCTTAATAGACATTAAAAGGTTTTCAGTTTGAAGCAAGCAAGTCAAAATGTGATTATGCAGTACAAACAGTCATGAAGAAGATTAAGAGATCAGTTATCATAGGCTGCACAAAGAAGAACCATATAGATGTAAATACAGGTATAGTTCTGAGCATAAATAATTTCATCTGAACAAAAAAGTGTCTGTTTTGACTAAATATTTTACAATTTTTGCAGGTTGGTGATTTTGTCATGTTTACAGGATAAATAGAGTGAAATCTATACAATCACTTAGCTGCAGTAAATGAACTCTTAGTGTATGGAGAGGAAGTAGTAACTTGCATATTTGTAGTTTTATAGCAAGCAACTCATAGTTATAACTTATAACTCTGGCATTATTGGCATGCAAAAGAAATCAAGCCTTTTTTAACCCTTAATAATGTGAATGCCTAATAAACCCTAAACCCTTTATCTACTCAAATTACTTTAAAAAACCCGATTGCCAATGAAACACTAGGAAACAACTCTGCTTTCATTTTGGAAAAAAATAAACTTGAACCAAGTAATAGGCAACATGTGAGATTCTTTATAAATGAAGATGTGAAATTTTTTAAAAAATACAATTTAAATTTGCTAGACATGATTAACGATGAAACACTATTTTTAGATCTACCAGTATCAGAAAAACACTATTGTCTTAGAATGTACTTTGTAATTCATATATGAATTACTACTGTAGAAGATAAACCTAAGGCATTAAAATAATAGTTTTTTATATAATAATCAAGTCAAAAAAATTTCATCCATCAAAAATTAAGGTTTATAATCTGATGTCAAAAAGAAATTATCTCCATATAAAACTGTGTGTATTTCTTTTAAGAAATCTGAACTACATTTTTTTATGTCAAAAACAGGGGGAACATCATTATTTGATGACAAAAAAGTAGCATGCTTCATTTGAAAAAAATGAAATAGTCATACAAAATATTATATGCAATACACACAATTTGAGTAGGCTAACTTTCTCCCAAAAAAAAAAGACAAGGCTACAACTTACACAGTAACCAATACACACAATCTATTTATTTTGCCCTAATTGTCAGTTATGACTGTTAGGTTACCAATAAAAAGTTATCATCTTCCATGATGTAATTATTCTAAAGACAGAAATCTCACACATGTTTATAAATACCAAACAGGTAGCCAAGTAAACAGATACATATATCACTCTTCTTTTACTATCACAGATTATCAACATCTAATATAAACTACATCAAAGAAATACGGGGAAGCAAAAATGATCATTTATCATTTGTGTCAAAAGAAAGCAAGCAGAGGAAGATTAATGATAGTATTTGAAACGTACCTGTCATTGTCAATTCATACTTGCATTACCAGTAGTTATTTATGTTGTTCGTTGAGACATGTTTACCTCCTTTGAACTATAGATAGAAAACCTGTTAAGCATCATATTAAGATAGATAATGTTAGAATATATTGTATTTTATATTTGAGGTAAGCAAGAAAAAGAAAAAAAACTTACTCGCAATTTTATACTATAAATGTTTTTTACAGAATATATGACATAACTTTTGTGATTCTTAAAATTCAAATCCAATTTTCACAAAAATATTTTATTTTAAAGCTTTAAAATTTTCCAGTGTTACTTTTTATTTGTACATAACACTTTATATTAAATAATAACCAGAAAATTAATTTTCTTTTTTTTTAAAAAAAAAATCCTTTCAAATTAAACAAATATAAAAATAATTTAAAAGCAATTTACTATACCACCTAAAAATATCAAATTTGCTTTATAATATTTTTACAGATACATTAAATAAATTGAACAATTAATTGTTTCCTTTACAGCGTATAGTGTTAATTTTACATTTCGATAGTAGGATTTAATTAATTTAGAACCGTAACACTTTACATGGTTATTGAAATATTTAAATTGTCGTATAATCTTTAAATAATTCAAGTGTACAGAGATTATATAATTTTTAATTTTTAAAATTTATTACTTTAAAAAAATATGTATGCATGTATTCAAGCATAAAAATTTAACAAATCTTAATTGAACACGATACATATTTCAAATGCCAAAAAATTAAATTTAATTTCATATTATTATCTAACTTTATAAAAACACAATGTAATGCGTATAGTAATCAAACTTTTTAGATCGAAGAAAATGAAAGATTACAAGGATTACCTTTTATTCTGTTTGAAATCGTGATTTTAAACTTTCGCGATCTACGGTTTGTTCGTCCAAAAACAGTGATGACTTCCGACTCAAACGCATGTAAGAACTAAAACACTTAACTTTTGTGTAATTTTTGGGGTTTTGTGGATTATTTGGGAAGTATAAGGACGATTTAGGGTTTGATTTTGGAAGGATGGAGTGAAATTGCTCGAAAACGAAGTAGAGAGCGTAGAGAGATCCTCACAGAGCTGCTGAGCGAGAAATTAGGGTAATAACAAATGGGAGATGAGGGAGACGAATCGGCTGGCCTTAGTGAATTAGGGTTTGATTTTCTAATTATATTTTTGGGCTAATGGGTTCGGGTTATGGGCTATTAATATGCTATATATATCCGGGTTAATGGGTACGGGTTATGGGCTATTAATAGCAGGCCTGGTATATATTTTTAATGATACTTTTTTTGGGATCATAGTGTATGTTTTGGGTATTATACTTGAATATAATTTTAGGCCTTATATGTATAAATACAATCATTATTGTGTGGACCATGGTCCGCACAAGTTGTATAGACCATATTTTGTATACTGTAAAATAATATATATTCAGTACAAAAATAATATACATTGTATTCAGGGAATGTACATTATTTTTGTACTTAGTGTACATTATATTGTATAATGTACATACAGTATAAAAATAATGTACATTCAATATATTAAAAATGTATTCTTGTTATGGTCCACATAACATTGTGTGGACCATAGTCTACACAATAATTTGATATATCTATATTGAACATATATATATATATATATATATATATATATATATATATAATTTATAGATTTCTATCTATACACTTTGTTTAAAAATTAAATTAAATATAATGTATTATACTCTAATAATACATATTTTATTATTAAGTATATCATAGTTTAAATTTACAATTACTGCATTTGAGAAAAAAAAATGTGTGACAATACTAATTTAAGTTTATTTATTTTTTGTATGTTGTATACTTTAACTATTTATACTATACTTTTTTATATCAATTTTTTACAGATGAAAATCATTACGTCCAAGATGTAAATATGCTACCTAAACTGTTACAAACAAACACTATATATATATATATATATATATATATATATATATATATATATATTACACGTAAACAGTATTTTTTCTTATTAAAAAATACGGCAAACAATCGCGAAATAGAGAAAAAGCGCAAAATAGAGAGTCGTCTTAATTCTAAGGATGTCCTTAACACCTTCTGATCCAAGATTGTCTTTGAAGTTCCAAAGAAAGCAATTTCCGATAATGTTGTCATATGACATGACAATAAATAAATGTCAAAGGTCAAACACTGTCCAACTTTGGGTTGTTTTTTGAAAGACTGGTTTTTAATCATGGTCAAATGTATGTAGCAATCTCAAGAGTTAGTAATCCTAAGAGATTAAAAATACTTATTTGTGACGAAAATGTACAATCTCACAGTACGACTACTAATGTCGTATACAAGGAAGTATTCAATAATGTGTAATAACATTTTTTATGTGCTGTGTTTTTGTATTTTTTACAAGATTTCACCATTTTTTTTTTATTATATGATACTGTATATTCTATATATTATATATATGGCCGTGCATCGCACGGGTGCAAATACTAGTTGTTGTCAAACGTCAAGTGTTTGTCTTATTGTCTTCAGCTTCAGCTGAGATTTCTTGTCTGGACTTTGGGAGATATAGTTCATACATGATACATTGATACATCATATGAGAATGGGCTTTCTAATGGGCCACTCCTTCGGCATATTCTAAGAACTCTCCAAGCCCAACCTTTGTTTTTGCAGTCGTTATACTGTGCACAGGGCGCACAAACGACGTTGTTTTTATTGTTTAGATTTTATGTGTATTATGTTAATAGTCTATGTATATTTTTGATAGGGGATACCCCGATCGACCTAGGCCCTCTCGACCAGCATGCCTTCGTCTCTTTCCTTCTCCTTTTGCAGGTCACAAGGCGGATTACCTAAGAAGGATCCGGTCGGTTCCCGACCGGATGTTACCTGACCGACCTGGTCGACCCCGAGCGATAGCCCTTCGACGAGAGAGTTGAGGAGAGACACGTGTCGACACTCGGCGTTGACAGCAGGGTGCCAGGGAGGACGACACGTGTGGGGCTAGCCGGAAAGCCGGGTTTGTGTCTCCGGCGCCGCGACTATAAATACCCGTCGTAGCAACAGTGTGAGGGACTTTTGGACGATCGACAGGTTGTTATCAGAGCATCCCGACCGCAGTCAGTCGGCACTCGAACAGCCATCTAGATTGTACTTAGGACCTTCACCACGATCAATAAAAAACATTTAGTTGCTTTAATTGGTCTTGTGTTAATTTGATTACCGCTTACGTGGCAATTAGCACTATCAATTTTGTTATGAGTTTATATGTACTAGTTTTTACCCCGTGCGATGCACGACATAAAATTTAAGTAACTTTATTGTTGATAATATTTTAAAAACAATAAAATAAAATATTAATTATGAAATCAAAATTCATTCTGAAATATATTTTTCTTTAACAATACTAAATTGGTTGTTATATCGAACATACTATTAGCATATATTATAAAGAATTGTGTTATTAGATAACACATGAAATTTTAAAATTTTACATTAAAATAATTATACACACACACACACACATTTTTATTAAAAAAAAAAAATCGGGTGACCGGAGCATATCTAAAACAAACTAATAAATACAGTATCATCTTCAGGTAAAATTGATTGTTTTCAACGAAATTAAGAAATACATCATATTTTCTAATTACTTAATATCAGTTCAATAACTATTTGTTTAAATTTATTCGTCTCTCCAATATTATTATTCATGGAACTGATTTAAATTCTTAAAATCTTTTTTTTTTTTTAATTTAGTAACTGATTTAGTAACTTTTTCACATTGGTATTTAATACCTTAAAACAATGCAATTTCATTTAGGCGGGAAATTGATGTGGCAAAAAACATTTTGCTATTATATATAGTAAGATTATGTATTATGTTAATAGTTTATGTGTATTTTGTTATGAGTTTATATGTATTATGTTAAATTATGTATATTTTGTTATAATTTTGTGTATTCTATTAAGAGCTTATGTGTATTATGTTATAAGTTTATGTGTATTATGTATTATGTTATAAGTTTATATGTGTATTATGTTATAAGTTTATGTGTATTCTGTTATGAGTTTATTTACATTCGAAACAGAGAATTTTTATTTTTTTTTAATTTAACAGTAGAAACAGAGAACAGAATTTCTATAAAAATTAAAAAAAAAAAAAAAAAAACATGATCAAAACAACGTCGTTTTGACAAGGGCGCACAATGCATTGTGCGCCCTAATACACGGTATAATTTGCCTTGTTTTTGCAATCTTTATTGCATGGACCATGGTCCGCACAATTGTGTGGACCATAAATAAAAAGTACATTTTTAATATACTAAGAGTAAATTATTTATGTACGTAACGTACATTTTTTGAAAGTACATTTTTAATATATTAAGGGTACATTATTTTATATAATGTACATTCACTAGAAAAATAATGTACCTTCAGTACAAAATAATGTACTTTTAATATATGGAGTATTAAAAATGTACCTGATATTCATGATCCACACAATTGTGTGGACCATAGTCCACATAATAATTTGCCTTGTTCTTGTCTTTCTTTCTTTCTTTTTCCTTTTTTTTTTTTTGAAAAAAAAAAAAGAATTGAACAAATTGAACACCAAAATTTATACCTTAGAATGGTAAAAGAAGGATATTGATAAATTGAACCATGGTCCACGTAACTGCGTGGACCATAAATGTAATATATATTTTTAATATATTAAAAGTATATTATTTGTGTATTGAATATATATTATTTGATAATATATAAAAAAAATTATGTACTTTTAAATAATGTACTTTATATATACAAATAATGTGTTTTTAGTATTAATTTACACAAATGTGTGGACTATGGTTCGTGGAAGGATATTATAGAAGCTTATGTGTCATCTAGGAATTGGTTAATTTGTTAATAATCTACTATACTAATAAGAGACCAAGAGAGTTAGGCAGGCAATTTATATCCTGCACCACGGCGCACGTTGCATTGTGCGTCCAGATGCAAAACGACGTCGTTTCAGTTTTTTTTTTTTTTTTTTTTTTTTTTTTTAAATTTCGCTACCCAGTGTTTGGCGGTTAATTTTCCTTCTAAAAAAAATCTCATGTTCAAAAATGTACATAATGTTATACATTGAATGTACATAATTGTATAACAAAATATACATACTGTTTTTTAAAAGATAATACACATAATCTAACATAATACATAATAAACATAAACTTTTAACATAATACACATTAACTCTTAACATAATACACAAAAATTTCTTGATTCGGATGTACATAATTGTATAAAAAAAATGTACATAATAAAAAATATACATAATTGTATGAACAAATATACATAATTGTATAAACAAATATACATAATCACACCAACTTCCTACCGCGCCTCCCAAAACGACGTCGTTTTGGGAGACGCGTGGCGCACAATGCTACGCGCACCGTGGTGTAGGGTATAACGATTGAGTTAGGCATATATCTACTATACTAATAAGAGCCCAAGAGAGTTAGGCCTATAATGGGTAGAAAAAATGGCGGTTAAATTTTTTAATAATTAATGGCTCAAAATGATCATATTTTAATTTTTCTTTAAAATTTCCTAATTTATCATTAATGAATATGATTATCCGTTAACTTTTCTGTTAATTTCTGTTAGTTCACCGTTAACTTACTCATTGATTTTAATAAGAAAGATCTTAGGTTCGAACCTCATCCCAATCAAAGTTGGCCTAATTAGTGCTCTATTGTAGATAATAATTTAGTAGCTACAACAAAAAATAATACATATGCATTTCTTTAATTTAGAATTATGTGTCTACAATGTCTTTATTCAAAAAAAATTATTCATTATAAATAATTTAAATAAGAGAAATAATTTCATTAATTATATTATATTTATTTTTCTCCAATATAAAAATTCTTTACATTCAAATTCATCAATTGATTATATTCGCTACATTGTCCCTACAATGTCTTTATTAAAAAAAAAAGTATTCATTATCAATAATTTAATTGACACTGCTGGAAACTATGGAATTTTCGACTACATGAAAGTGATCTTAAATCAAGTCGAAAGATTTGTTCCGACCATTTTTGGTATCTGGAAAAACCTTTTGTTGCTATTTTTGACCACTTTTTGGTTTCGACTTGATTT